AAGGCAAGGTTCAGGCCCGAAAGCTTTTGGGGGTTTAGGGCTTTGTGCAATTTCAAGTATGTAAAACAGGCAAAAGTGGCACAGTAGGTAAGACTCCATGAATTGCTGGACATTCTGTGATCTGAACGGGGGCCAACGTACGTTTAATCACACCTAGGGGGAAACCCTAAACCCTCAACCCTGAACCAAAAAACCCTAAAATCCTAAACCGGGGTTTTAAAGTTTGGGGTTTAGGGGTGTGTGAAATGATAGCGAGGACTCCGGCTTCTAAGTCCGGGGCATCGGGCTCTTCCCGAAACCCTAAGACACGGTTAAGGTTTAGGGTTTCGGGTTTCGGGTTTCGGGTTTCGGGTTTAGGGTTTAGGGTTTAAGGATTAGGGTTTAGGGTTTAGGGTTTGGGGTCTAGGGTTTAGGGTTTTAAGAAGCCTACACCCTAAACTTCCTAAGGCCTAAACCCTAATGAACCCTGAACCCTGAACTTCCGAAGCCCAAAACCCCTAATAAACCCTGAACCCTAAACTTCCTAAGCTTCCTGAACCCAAACCCCTAAACCCTAAACGGTGCATCCGAGCCACTTCTCCTGCAAATGGATCTCATAGGTTCGGTAGTGCCTCAGCAGCCACGTGCATCTGACCACCCAAAATGCGAATGTGCCCTTAACCCTGTGCCAAAGCAAAAGCCCGAAGGGTTTAGAGTTCAGGGGTTTGCGGGTATCGGGGTTTAAGGGTTTATGGGCTTAGGGGTTTAGAGTTTCGGGGTTTAGTGTTAAGGGTGTCAGGGTCTAGGTGTTTAGGGCTTAGGGTTTTAGGGCCTACCATACATCCTAAACCCAAAGGGCCCTAAATCCCAAACCAAAAAGAAACCCCAAGCCCTAACCGTCGAGGCACTGCTGCACGGCCACGGTAAACACGAAAAAGAAGGTCATCGTCAAAAAGAGCTGAAGCGAGGTTCTCACCTGAGGAGCGAGAAGACATGAAGTGGGGTTTAGGGCTTAGGGTTTAGGGTTTAGGGCATGAAGTAGGCGGTTCACGGCCCACTGCGGCGATGCAACCGTTACGAAAAAAGCCTTCAACCTACTCCCCAAACCAAGAAAACACGCAAAGCCCTGAACCCCAAGACCCCAAACCCTAAAGCCCTAATCACACCTCAGACTCAAACTTTACCCGCAAACCCTGAACCCCCTAAACCCCTAAGCCTCCAAAAACCCCCCCAAAACCGACCTGGAACGGTTTTTACAGGACCCTTATAAATCCCTTCACACCTTTAAACCCTAAACCCCCAAACCCACACCCCTAAACCTGAAACCCGAAACCCGAAACCCTAAATCCTAAACCCTAAATCCTAAATCCTAAATCCTAAACCCTAAACCCGAAACCATAAACCCTAAATCCTAAACCCTAAACCCGAAACCCTAAATCCTAAACTCCTAAACCCGAAACCCTAAATCCTAAACTCCTAAACTCCTAAACCCCAAACCCTAAATCCTAAACTCCTAAACTCCTAAACCCCAAACCCTAAATCCTAAACCTAAACCCTAAATCCTAAACCCTAAACCCTGAACCCTAAATCCTAAATTCCTAAAACATAAAACCCCAAACCCACCCTTTAAGGGAACCCCCACGAGCCCCACAGGCCTCGCCCTGGAGCTCCAACACGGCCGGAAGAAGCACGCGCTTGTCGGCACCACCTGCGGAAGCCGCGTTTGAGGTGTAGGGTTTAGGGGGTTAGTTTGAGGGATTCAGGGACAGGGTTTAGGGGTTTAGGGTTTAGGGTTTAGGGTTTAGAGTTTAGGGTGTAGGGTCTAGTGTGTAGGGTGTAGGGTATATCGGGGTTTAGGGTTTAGGGTTCAGGGTTGTTTAGGGGTTTTGGGGTTTGGGGTGTAGGGTATATCGGGGTTTAGGGTTTAGGGTTTAGGGATAGGGTCTGGGGGTTTCGGGGTGTAGGGTATATCGGGGTTTAGGGTTTAGGGTTTAGGGTTGTTTAGGGGTTTGGGGGTTTAGGGGTTTGGGGGTTGAGGGTTTAGGGGTTTGGGGTTTAGGGGTTTAGGGTTTAGGGGTTTAAACCTTCAACCCAAAACCCTAAACCCGAAACCCGATTTAAACCCAAACCCTAAACCCGAAACCCAAAACCCTAAACCAGGGATGCTGGAAGATCTGGCCCTCAAGGGGTCCTTCACAGGACAACTCTACAGGAGCACTTAGAGGAGGCCCGTATAGAACTTCGGAAAGGCGCCCTTATGGTCCTTAGTAGGTTTAGGGTTTAGGGTTTAGGGTTTAGGGTTTAGGGTTTAGGGTTTAGGGTTTAGGGTAGATAGTAAGGGTGTATTCTTGGCGTATTACAGTTGGTGCCTATATTTGGGAGGTCTAGGTAAACCTCTAAGTTATCTGAAGTCAAAAACATGCCCATTGTGAACTTGAGGAAGACAGTTCTCAAGTTTAAAGTACCTACGGGGTCCCCCTTAATAAAAGGCCAAAGTATAGGTGCACCCTACCTTACGGCACTATGTAATCTTATACTGTGAGTCCCTTCATGGTATACGAACCTTAACCCCTCTTCGGGCTCAGTTCGTCTTTGAGGCAGAAGCAGCCTGTAGATCTTGAGAAGCTCTGGGAAAAAACATGTTTCCTGCTGTATAAGGCCGTACTTGGAGGATCATGGGACTTAGTAAGTAAGGTTATAAGTCCCCTAATTGGGGGTTATACGTATAGGTACCTTAATTATAACCCTACTTACTAAGTCCCATGATCCTTTACGTATTTGGGAGAAGCCCTCCATAATTCCCTCATCTTGGTTCATATGGGGTGCTGATCCATGCGGTCGCAGCTGCATCCGGATGGTGGAATTTAGGGCCACCAAAAAGCACATAAGCAACAGTTGGGATAGAGATATCCCAGATAAACCCCCTTGTAATGAAGCCCAATAAGGTAGGGATGTCCCTGTCAAATGCTTATGCTTCTGTCCTTGTTGGGTCCCTAAGATAACCCTAAACCCTACACCCTAAACCCTAAACCCTAAACCCTAAAGATTTAGAGTTTAGGGCTTAGGGTCTCGCCTCGAATGCCCTTGGTCACCACCTTTGCTTCTTTCGCGACTTTCTGCTGGAGACCTGGGCTGCTCCACTCCAGCTCTGCCACCGTGAGACAGAAACTCACACTGAACTACTGTTGATTATATGAGTCCTGCATTACCCTTAAACTGTGGGAATTATGGTAAAGATCCTTATTGTGGGTAGTGCAGGATCTATATCATCAACCGCAGGCCCTTGGAAACATAAAGCACCTTGCAAGCCAACCGCTGTCAAAGGCTCTGGGACTGACAGTGAACTTCACGCGCCGCAGGTAAAGTTAAAGGCTGGACATCCTAAACCCTAAACCCTAAACCCCAAACCCCTAAAATTGCGCTCCAAGACTAGAGCATAGCCGTGTGTTCGAGCCAAGGCACTCTTACCCTCTGTGATGTCACCTCAGTGCTGCCCGCTTGCGCAAGCGAGATGAGCTGGACGTTGGTTTATAGAGTTTAGGGGAGTCTAGTGTTGCAGTCACTGTATGCATCTCCACAAATGCTAGAGGAAACTACAGATGAGGGGTTTTGGGTGTATAGGGCTTCTATATGGCCTCCATAATATATACATATATATATATATATGATATATGATATATATATATATATAGACCTTCTATAAGGCTCCTATAACGGTAACTACCCACCTGACAAATGTCCTAGAACATGCTAGTACATAACCTGCCTCCCATTGATACTGCATATAAAACCCTAAACCCTAAACCCTAAACCCTAAACCCAGATTCACTCGGCCCTAGGCTCAAGGCGGTTTGCGAACCTTTTGCAGAACTCTTACGCTTGCGAGTTCCAGGAGTTCCAGAACCCTAACCTAAAGCCTGCACCCTGAACCCTAAATGCCCTGACACCTAAACGCCTAAAATGCTGAGCCCTTACCGTCGAGAACCCGAACTCTGAACCCCCTTTTCCGGAACCTTCAAGCCGAAACTTAGGGTCTAGGGGTTTAGGGT